CCACCCTCAGCCCTCCAACAGCTTCTGGATGTTAAATATCATCTCTTTATGTGAGCTGGACCAGAAGGCAGAGTCATCTGTTACTCTTTTACTTCCTCGATGAGCCCTCGAGCTGGTTCGCAGGGCAGCTATTGATCCTTTTTTTTCTTTCCAGGGGATTGATCAGTTCAGATTCAGCTGCTTGGTTGTATTCTCCCAGGACTCATGTTTTTTTTTTATTCTTGTCCTCGTTCTATCTTCCCCCTAAATAAAACAAAATAACCAGAAACAGTGACTAAAACTAGATAGTATGGTGTGGTGGCAGCACTTTGATGGACAGACCAAGTACTTCTTTTGCTAATATAGCAACTACTATTAAGTGTCTTGTCGCTTACCTTTGATGGTCTTTGGAAATGTGAAAGTTATTCTGCATTTGTGCTTAAAATCACCTCGATTACCCAAAATACGTTTATCTCCCTCCAAGACTCTTCTTTTTTTTTTTGAGACAGAGTCTCACTCTGTTGCCCAGGCTAGAGTGCCGTGGCATCATCGAAACTCACTGCAACCTCAAATTCCTGGGCTCAAGGGATCCTCTTGCCTCAGCCTCCCGAGTGGCTGGGACTACAGGCACGTGCCACCATGCCCGGCTAATTTTTCTATTTTTAGTAGAGATGGGGTCTCACTCTTGCTCAGGCTGGTCTCGAACCCCTGAGCTCAAGCAATCCTCCTGCCTCAGCCTAGGGTGCTAGGATTACAGGCATGAGCCACGGCACCCGGCCCAAGATTCTTCTTAATGGAACTTTTAAAAAAAAAATTATTTTTTTTGAGAGAGGATCTTGCTTTGTCATCCAGGCTGGAGTGCAGTGGTGTGATCATAGCTCACAGCAACCCAAACTCCTGGGCTCAAGCGAGCCTCCTGCCTTGGCCTCCCAAAGTGCTAGGGTTACAAGTGTGAGCTACAGCACCTGGCCTGATTTTCATATAGATTTATCCACATATTTTCATATTCTCTGAGAATGAGAAGGATATTATGAAAATCATAATAAAAATTTTCCATGAAAACAATTAAAAATAAAAAAACTTGATTCTTAAGGATATTTCCAATTATCTGAAAAACCGAGATAACGGAGAGCTCATTCAACAATTCATTAGATAAACATGTATCCAATACCTAAAAGTGTCATGCTCTGTGCAAACTACTACAAACCACTATTTAAAGGAGATGAAGAAATGATTGCTGCTGTTGAGGAGCTTAATTAAAAGTTGCATGCTTTATATCTTGTACAAATACTTAATATTTTACAAAACACTTTCCACAAGTAACAACTCATTTCATCCCCAGAACAATCAATTGTTTTTGTACTTTATAAACTTGAGATTTCTCGTTGCTCACTGTTATTTGGCAGCCGGGATGTTTGATGATGATGATGTCGGTATTTCCCCATTATTCCTGGTTTGATTTTATGTGCTTAATGATTAACCGTTTACAAAGTGCTTTCATGTCTCATTCAAAACAAATTTTTTCATCTTCTCATCTCAAAGTCATGGTTCTAGTCTTCCTCCTGGGGGAATGGGGAGCTAAAATGACTTCTCAAATTCCCTGTGAGTGCTATTAAACTAACAGTCAGTTCTACTATATACCTGAGGCGGGGGACCTGGTTCTTGAATTCCTTCCCTTTTTAGGCCATAATCTCAGAAGTTCATCCCTACTTCATTTTTGCTCTACATTTTTCCTTTATTCCATTCCTGATCATGCCTTCCAGGTCACTTGTTACCTTGGAATACTGCTTCTGTCAAAAAAAATAGAAACAGAATTTAGCAACTTGGGGATGATTCTGTCCAATGCGTTCACTTACTTCATGGAGGAGTTAATTGAGGCCCAGGGCCATCAAGTGTCAATGCCAAAGCCACACAAATAAGGGGTAGGGCTAGGCTTCAGCCTGAGATGCTGTGCTCTCTGACCAGAGGTCTTCTAAAGGCCTCCTGCCGTTTTTAAAAGCTACCTGTCAAACGAAACATTCTTCCGGGAATAACACGTGCTTCTCTTACGTTGCTAGTCTGTAAATATTTGGTTACTGTTGTAATAAGAGTTCTACCCAGTTTTATAATATTTCACAGATTGTGTCGTATGCTTTCAATTCTTCCAGAGCGTGCCCATTCACCGAGGAATTATGTAGTTATTGAATAAACAAACATTTAGTGAACATCAACTATGTGCCAGGCATAATATAGGAACTGGGAACATCAAACCTACCAGGTTTTGGCTTGACTTTAACTGGAAGTATCCTTTGGATTTGTGTAAGATCATTCAATAGCGGATCATTAGTAACTGTACAGTTTTAGCGTAAATGATCCTGTCAATGTGAGAAAATTAGTAACAAGAATTGAACTTTAACAAGGCGTTTGAATGTAGACTTTAACACATTAACTGCCACGTGACCTGTATTTAACTCACGCTAGTTTTGAGCCTGGGGCCTCGTGAAGCATAGGAAGACTCAAGTCTCCGAAACAAACTCAGTAACTATTTGTCAGTCACATACAACTCAGCTGGCGTGCAGCGTGAAAACTGATTCTAGCGCCATGTGAATGGCATATAACTCACGCACGGAAAACAAAGAAAACAAATTTTTCATTAAATTAGAAGGGATCACTTTGTTTTCGAAGTTTTTATTCTATTTTCGTAGTAAAACACCGTGGCCCCAGGGAAAAATATTTTTTTCCAGTGTGGCAGTCAGTGTGTCAAAGCCTTCACCTGCGCACTTCGCACTCGTGCAGAGGCCCCGAGGACCCTATTTCAATGTCTCCAACTGCGGTTGGAACAGTCTTCTCAATTTGCTACGAAAAACGCCAATGAAGGTTCATCTCGGGTAATCTAATCCCTTTTACTTGTTTTTCCCCCTCCCTCAGCGGGCTCCCCTCCCGCGAAGCCTGGGGGGCAGCGGCTCCACCGCCGGCGGAGACGCAGGGTCGCCGCGGCCACGGGGGGCGCGTCCCGGGCGCTTTCCCCGGGGCGTGGCCGCGCCGTGCGGCTCTTCCGGCCGCGCTGCGGCCACTTCCGGTCGCCGTCGCTCCGCGGAGCCATGGCGGCGCTGCTCCGGGGCCGGTGCCTGTGGCGGGCGTGGTCGTGCAGGTGCAGCCCCGACTCCTCCCTGAGCCCCCAGGGCGGCCCCAGTGCGCCCCCGGCGGCGGCCCGAGTAACCCGGCCCCGCTCCGTGTTGCAGGAAGGCCGGGCAGGGCCGGCACTACCGCGCCGCGCTGTGCACCGAGCTGAAGCGGCCCCTGACCGTCGGAGAGGCGGCCCCCCGCCCTGTCGGGCCTCTCGAGGTAGCGCGCCTGGCCCGGCCCCGCCCCCCCTGCCACCGCACACCACCCCCGCAGGCTTCCTTCTGGAATCCCGCTCCCGTGCCCGGGCTGGGGCGACCCGAGACTGGAGCGCAGCTTCGTCGCGGGCCGGGTCAGAGGAAGACTGTCCCCCCAGACACACGATGGGCCTCGCGGAAGGCCCCAGAGCGGTTGCCTTAGACGCAGAGAGCTCTGATTTGCACACGACTTTGCACTTGCAAGTTTCGGATTTCCTGCAGCTAGATGGGCCCCCATCCTTTGCTTCCTTCCTCTTCAGTGTCAACATCTGGGATGGGGCCTGAGCATTTGAATTTGTTACAAGTTCCCAGGTGATGCTGATGCTGGTGGTCTGGGACCACCTTTTGAGAACCTGGCTTACGAGGCCTGGAGAAACTGCAGGCTCCACGGCCGCGGGTCTGCGTCAGTTATGGCGCTTTCACGAAACACAGGCTGGGGATCCAGGATAGCCTCCAGGATTCCACATTCCCCAAACAGCTAGTCATGTTTCCTTCCGTTTAAAACCCTTTGATGGTTTCCCGTTGTTCCTGGCGTGAAGGCTGAGATGCTCACTAAGACCCACAGACCTCGTGTGCTGTGGTCCCTTCTCTCTCTGGCCCCATCTCCTTCTCCTTGTGCTCCAGGCTTGCTGCTCTTTCTTTTGCTCCCACCACAGAGCCTTTGCACCTGCTGTTGCTTTTGTCTGTGCCAAGCTCTCCCCTCCTGTTTTGAACCGTTAACTCTCAGCTGTTGTCAGTTCAAGTGTTTCTTTCTTGGGGATGTGTTTCCTGACTTCCCCAAGAGGTCCAGTCCCCACATTGCGTGCTTTCGTAGCACCGTATATTTCTATCTTTAACACTCTTATTGGAGTTGTAATTTAACGTACATCTACATTATTATTTGGTTAATATCTGCCTTTTTTACTATACTTTTAGCTCCATGAAGGCAGAAACCTCGTCCTTTTGGCCTCATGGATGTGCACTGGCTCTCACTTCAGTACCTGGCGTACAGTTATGGTTCAGTGATGACTTTGGTATAATTGAATGAAATTTGTCTCCACGGATGTGTGCTGTTCTGCCTTCCTGCTCTGTTTCCTTTGCAGGTCAGAGTTGACGTCCATTTCTGCGGAGTTAACTTTGCAGATATTTTGGTCTGCCGTGGTCAGTATCAGGAAAGGCCCCATCTTCCCTTCACACCTGGTGAGTATGGGGAGACTAAGTGACTCCTTCAGGAGAGGAAGATTCAGAGTTTGCATAACCATGCACTTCATCTCAGACACTGCTCTGGCGGCGTTTACCTGCCTTCAGTGATGTTTCAGTGAGACGTGTTAGTCTCGCTGTTAGAATCACTAGATTGTGAGCTGATGAGGGCAGGCTCTGTGCCTGTCTTGCTCGGTGCTCTATCCCCCAGCTTAGCATTGTGCCTGGCTCAGTAGATGCTCAATAAATACTTTAAAAATGAATAAGTGAACAAATGAATTTCCACGCATCGTTGCATTCATCAGCATTCTGTTCATCAGAATCATCTTGGCCCTAGTCATTCCCCCTCCTGCCTTGATACTGCCTCAGTTTTGTTTCTTCACCAAAGTATCACAAACATCTGTTTGCAGCTAAAACTTTCAGACTCACAAATGAATTCCCAAAGAAACCTAATGCCAAAGGATCAGACAGAAGAAAAAGAATCTATACGTTTTTCTTAGCAGCCCACTGTCTGATTTTCATTATACCTAATCTGATTACTTTTAGATCCTGAGTATGTGGACAAATGACTGATTTTTGTTTTTAAAATTTACTTAAAGAGATAAAAGTGTAACTTTAGCATGTGTCTAGTACATGTATATTTTATACACATATATAATGACGGATACAGTGATTGCAAAATAGTTGCTGTGGTTTGCTTTTAGGGCATTTTGGTGTCAGGGTGTTTGGTAGCGTCTCAGCGGTTGGAACCGTTTCCTTCTGTTTGTATTTGCTGAAATGCTAGATGGGGGGAGGAGATCATACTCAATTGAGTTATTCTCCTGGCAGCTCAAGTAGGAAATGTGTGGTCATTAAATTAAGAACTTTTGAAAGAGAAAGAGGAAAGGGCACACAGCACCAGTTCATCCAGCTGAGCCAGGTACTGTGTGAATGAACACAGTTCATGCCCTCGAGAGTCCCACATTCCACCGGAGGAGACATGGAAACAGATAAATACCATATGATGAATGTTGCAGGGTGTTGTAGACGTTGGGGGCCCGAGTGAGCAGGGTCACTTGTGATTCTCTGTGCTTTTGTACGTTTCTGAAATTTCCATTTGTGTCAAGGTATGAATGGGACTGCGGTAGCTTTTGAGGTTGTGGATCGTGAAATCTGATGTTCGCTTTCCTGTGCTTTGGGTACAACACTCTTATGTCTCTGCCTGGGCGGAGTGAGGGGCACCTAAACCCTCTCAGCTCCCAAAGGATGATGGGATGGTCTGTTGATCAGGGTTTGCTCATGTCCATGGTGTTGGGCTTTAACGATAACCTAACCTTTAAACAATGTGTTTTAGGAATGGAGTTTTCTGGGACAGTGTTGGAGACAGGCACAGACGTCAGCACGGTGAAAGAGGTAAATGAGTTGCAATCTAGGGAGTCAGGGTATGCACGGCCGTGAGAAATGCGCTGACCTCAGGTGTAGCCAAGGGGTCTTGCTCCCCCTGGCCTTTGCCTGCGGACACCAAAGGGAAACCGAGATGGAAGAAGAAGAAACAAATTCTGAATTGGGGGAAGGAAGCTGATGGAAGTTTCTGGTTTCATTAAACTTTATTATGAATAAAAGGCAGCACCTCAGTCTTTAATTACCGAGAGGATAGAGAATTCTCAGATTTGAGCCTCTTGTGAAAGAAATGAATACTGGGAATCTAATGCATACCAACCTGTCCTTACTCCATCCCATCATTGTCTAAAACGTGCCCAGGTTGGCTTGGCAACCTGGTGGTGGTGCTGAGAGACTCCTGTTTTATTTACTGAACATTAACTCTGAATGGACATCACGGCCAACCTTAATTGTCTATGGAGTCAGAGATGTGTATTTTCTTCCTTTTTTGGATTAATTCAGGGAAAGGTGAATGCAAGGCCATGCATTTGAACGTATCCTTAATGCTATTTTCCCTTCAGGGAGATCGAGTTATTGGCGTGAGTTTCTTTAATGGTATGGCTGAAGAATGCATCATTGACCAGAAGGTATCCCCGCCTCTCAAGATTAATGCTTGGAGATATTTTTTCTCCTTTGTTTTCTTAATTTCCACTAATTGCTCATTCCTCGTCCTTCCCTTCTCCTTTCTTTTCTTTGTATTTGTCCATATCTTATTTCTTAGCCAAACACTTCATGTTTGCAAATGCTAAGCCCCTTCTCTTTGCTAGTGCGACAGTCTTTGCACAGAGCTTTGTTTGTGTCGAGTGTTTTAATGAAGAAGGGCATTTTGTTTTCTGAGTTCTGGTCTGGCCATCCAGTTGGACCATAGTTAGGTAGAAAACAGCGTTTGGTAGAAAAACTGGCTCGGGGCATTGAGCTGGATGTAATGGGCTTCTCCCCCACCCAAAGCTTGTGGAAGAGATAGCCCTGGGAACGGGGCCAGCCAGGGTGGCCTGGTGCGGTGTGCGGGATGTGAATGTTGCTTGCCCCCTGGTGGTGCACAGTATACAGTTTTCCCCACAGCTTTATCGAGGTAGAATTTACACATCATACAATCCGCCCATTGCAGTACAGTGATCTGTGTTCCATTCTCCATCCCTTGGCTCCTTCCTGAGCCAGATGCTTGGGGTTTTGAAGTCTGAGACACCAAGTCCTGAACTCTCCACGGCGTGCTTGATCTTGACTTCCGCTGGGCTTGGCCGTGGGCCTGTGTTTCCCTTGGCGAATCAGTCACTCGGTCAAATCATAACATTTACTGAGCAGCCTTCGTGACCAGGTGCATGTGCTTAATCCCTACGTCACCGTTATCTCTCTTTGTAGATGCTGTGGCCGATTCCAGAAAAGGTCTCCCTGCGCGAAGCTGCTGCCCTACCTATATCTTACGCCACCGCTATTTTAGCGCTAGAGCATCGTGCTCGTACTCAGCCTGGGTGAGGACTGTGTAGACGACAGGGGCTGGAGGGTACCCTTTTCTGACACCGGAAGTGCCCAACAAAGCTTTGCCCCGCCTCGTCCCTCGTCCCTTCCCTCCTGCTCGCGTTCATTTTGGCTGAGGAAAGGCCAAGGGGGGGTATTGGCTTGAGACGGGGGTCTCGTGACTGTGGGGGCCTCCTTTCGTCAGAGAGGGAGTGACAGACCCTGAACTTAGCCAGTATGAATCTGGAAAGATCTCTCTCTCAAACCTGACCACTGTGGAGATCACCTCACAGAAAACCTTAAAGTGTAGAGAGTTGGTTTATTTAAACTTACTTCACTCTGAGTCTGATGGAGGCCTGTGGCATTTGTCTCTGTGAGGCCTTGTTGGGTGTGCCAGTTGGGGTATTTCAGACGCAAAGGTGTTGAGGTTTTCCACTGTACCTGGAACATATACGCTGCTTCTTGATCTTTTAAGACAGCCGAGTCCCAGAATTGCTCCTCAGATAGGTGGGTTTATTTGAACAGTGCCATTATATAATCACTAGAAAACTGGGCAGTATTTAGTATGAGGATGGTTTTAGGACAGAATTTCGCACGAATGGAGTGGTAGCTCGAAGGAAAGGTTACCACCGACATGGGGGAGAGACTGCCTAAAGAGATTAAGGAATCTTTTTCCTGGGAAGCCTTCAAAACTGAACCAAATTAGCACTGATCTAGAAGTCACATACACAATCCACCCCTAAAGGCTGGAGAACAGATGTGCATGAAGGTTTGGGTGAAATGACCTTTAACATTCTTGCTTTAAAATGTTCTGGTTCTGAAATGTTTGTGCAGCCATGTTACTGGATGATTTTTGGAGGTTTCCAAAGTAACATTCATCTTTCTCTGGCAGAGAAACTGTTTTGGTGACGGCAGCAGCTGGAGCCACAGGCCTGGCGGTGATAGATGTGGCAACAAATATTCTTCAGGCTAAGGTATTTGCATGTGGGAGTCTGCCTTGTGAAAAATCGCAACTCCAGTTTTCAAACATGGAACATGTTCGTTCATTCATTAAAAATCATGTGCAAGACACTGGGGACACAAAGTCACCCAGAGCAGGGTCTTGCCGTTTATTTGCTCGCAGACCAGCGAGGGAGGAGGCACGGACGTTCATCACTCCTGGCAGCGTCTGACTCGCTTCGCGGCTTTCGCAGATGCGGTTTCCTCTACCTGTAGGGCTCTGAACTGTCTCCGCCTGTGCTTCAGATTTAAACTCAAATGTCTCCCCCATGTGTTCTTATGAGGTTTAAATAGAATAAACGATTGCATACGTGTTACCGTAGCTTCAATTTACTAACACTTTGTTTTCCAAGTGGCTGTGTCAGTCCCCTCCCCGTCACGAGATTTGTATGTGATCCCACAGTGCCCTGTGCTTCTCTCCCGTCACATACAGCTCCGTGTGTCGTTGCTCCTTTACTTGCGTCATTACTGGATTAATGTCTCCCTCCTGCTGGAATGTACTCCCCGTACAGGCAGTGACAGTGTCTGTTTGGTTCATCACCGTAGTCCTGACACCTAGTATGGTGTCCAGAACACAGTAGGAACTCAAGAACTGTTTCTCGATTGAATGAATGAAGGCATGAATAAAAGAATGAAAGAAAGACCCCTGTCTCTGCGGGAGCATCTCTCTGGGAAGGAGGACTTCTTGAAGAAGGAGGGCATTTAAGCTGACTTTTGAAGGACTGGTAGCGGTTGAATAGAGGAAGAAGGGAGGTGAAGGCTATTTTAGTGGTGGGGGACATAGCAGAAGACAGAGAAATAGGACCCAGCACGATGCATTCTGGGAATTGCAAATGGCATCGCTGGCACCGAGGACCTGTGGGGAAATGGTAGAAGGTGACTCTAGAGAAGCCGGTAGAGATAAGATCCCGAGGGGCCTTGTGTTGGGCTGAAGAATTTGAACATTCATTGGAAGCTGTTGGGAGCTCTTGAGGATTTTAAAGTAGGAAAGTGATATGATCATCTTTGCATTTTGAAAATTTCACTCTGAAGGGGGCAGGGCAAGGTCAGGGGCAGTCTGGAAGCGGAGGGACAGACTCGTGGAGGAATCCAAGCCAGAGGGGAGGACGCCTGAACCAAGGCAGTGGAGCGATGAATTGGGAGATGGCGAAGTGGAAAACAGTGGAGAATTTGGTGACTGGAGTGCATCCTGTCCAAGTAACAGGGACTTAAAGGTAGCCTGACGAAGGTTCAGATCCCAGCTCTGCCTCATTTCCTCGCTTGTGAAATAATGATTTCTTCATGGAGTTGTGGTAGGAATATTGAGATTATTCTATGAGATTATTATGCCTATCAGAGTGCGTGGCATGTCAGTAAGAACGTCTTAAAAAGGAGTCCTGTTATTATTAGACATGGTGTGGGAAGGAGCAAACTAAGTTAACTCGTGAATTGCTGTTTGTCGAGATTGAGAACACACGGGGAAGTGGTGAGTGCGAGGTCCCTGCGGAGTGTGCGGTTCGGATGTCCGGAAGGCAACTGGATCTTCATGTTTGGAGATGACTGGGCTGGTCTGGAGTTTCTTTAGGTGGCGTCTCTGCGTTCTCACATTGCGATCCTTTTGGGAAGGACGTGTGAGTTCTGAAAGCAATCTTAGATACCAGCAGGCTCCTCAAGTGACATTAACACATTTCATGTCAAAAGGGTGGGCTTTTAGCTCCTCTTGGGGGGAGAGACCGTAATTGTTTCACTGCCTAGAGCTATTGACTATTTAACATTTCTAGGAAGATAAAATTGTACCATTTGTTTTAAATAGTTATAAGAGGTTAAGTAGAAAGAAAAATTCACTTTTAATTCAGATACTAAAATTAATCTAAGCTGTGTTTTCTTTAGCAGTAATAACGGTTTTAAACAAAAGCAAACAAAAAAATGATGTTACCATGCCACCTACGTGGAACAGGTCCCTGTGATAACACCTCGCGTCCACAGCCTTGCGTACCGCTTTCAAAGGCGCCACAGTAATTATCTTACCTGCGAGCCCCACAGAGCTCCTGGGAGACGGCAGTGTACGTGTTTGTCATCCTCCTTCACAGGTCAGGAAAGGGAGGCCCCAGAGAGGAGATGAGTCACTGTGGGTCTCACGGGGACCGAGTGAGAGTCTCGGAATTCAAACCAGTGCCTGACCCTCGTCCAGGGTCCATCCGCGGGGGCCGTGTGCTCAGTGCCTGCAGCGGACTTCAGCTCTCTGGGGCTTCCCGCAGGGAGAACTGGAGGGGTCAGTTATGAGTGAGTTTGGAATCTTTTAAGGGAACTGATGTTCTTGAGGTGTTCGAGTGCAAGTTCTGAGGATCACTTCGGGACCAAAGTGCGTGCACTGGGGGGTGCTGCCCAGTGAGGAAGCCTGGGTTGGGTTTTTGCAGCTTTTCTAGAGACTTCCACACCCCAGTTATCCCCCACAGGGTGGCTCGCAGCCATCTGTGCCATTTGTGTTGGGCCTTTCGCATGGTTTTCTCCCAGGGTGACGGGGTGGAGAAGCACGGGCTCTGGAGGAAGGCAGCAGCGGGTCTGAATAGCTGTCCTGACACGTGCTGTCTGGACAACCCTGAGTCTCGTCCCCATCCGTAGTGTGGGAGCGACTGTGCCTCCCCCACGTGTTCTTGTGAGGTTTAAATGGAGTAAATGCATGCGTGTAACAATAGCTGCGATTTACTAACACTTCGTTTTCCAAGTGGTTTATGTACAGTTTTCCATTTAATTTTTAAAATGTCTTACTTTACTGATGGAGTAACTGAAACCTAATGAAGCTGGCAGGCAGTGTAGGGGTTAAAAGCGGGAACTCTGGAGGTGGATTAGTGGGGGTTAGGTCCCCGCTCTGCCTCCTTGTGTGACCTTCCTTGGGCAGGTTACATAACCTTTTTGCCTCAATTTCTTCATCTATAAAGTGAGGATAATAACAGCATATATTTCATTGGTCTATTATGATTAAGTGAGTTATTAGTATATGTAAAAACATATAGAGTAGTGTCTGGCAAATAGTAACACTGTGCGTTAGTTTTTACTAAGTAATTTGCCTACGGTAACACGGCTAGTGAGTGGCAGAGCCAAGATTTGAACTAAGGTCTGTCCGACTTGAAGATCTTTCTATTCAGTCATGTTTTACCCTCTGGGAAGCCTTTGCTGATCTTCTAGATCGGGTACCTCTTGTTTGCATTTCTGGAGCGCTCTGCCTTTCCCATCACACTGCTGTATCTTGCTTTGTTAACTCTGAGCTTGGTATCCAGTTTGTGTCCTTACTAATTGACTCATAGCTGCTGCGCAGTAAGTGGTGGCTTTCGTTTACATTTGGAGAGGACTTTCTGTGTGTCTTTTGGACCATCTCCTAGCTAGACCTGTTGGAGTCCCCGGATTCCTCAAAATGTGGACCTCGTGGCTAGTGGGGCATAGAGGGGCCTGTGGGAAGGTCTGTGTGTTGGGCCCGATGTGTGGGCTCGAGGCTGGCACTAGGGCAGCACGGCCACATTGGTTCCTTGAGTAGCACCGTTTGGCTGGAGGAGGGGAAGGTGGGGTATCCCCCACTGTGACATGTTCTGGACCATCGGAAGCTTTGTGTTCTTCACGCAGGTGATAGCTGTTGCCGGAAGTGACGAGAAGTGCAAGCTGGCGATGCAGCGAGGTGCCCAGTTTTGCGTGAACTACAATGAGGGCGGCCTGAAGGAGACAGTGAGGAAGCTGGTGGGCAGTGGCGGGGTGCACGTGGCCATCGACATGGTGGGAGGCGACGTCTTCCTGGAGGCTCTCCGCAGGTGCGAGGAGCGGTCTGTCCCCAGGGCTGGGTCCGGGGCTCTGCTGAGACCTTTCGGACTCTGTCTTCCTTCTGGCCTCGCTTCTCTCTCTGCTTTGCTGTTCACGTCAGCTGTAGGCATCGGCGTCCACGAGGACAGCTGAGTGGGTGGATGAAAAGGAATAGAAGCAGAGAAAATCAGGAAATGCTTAAATATAGCAAAAACAAAATACCCAACTGGAAAATATCCAAAAAATGACTGCAG